ACCTATATCATTTTGGGGGTTCCTTATTATAACAACTATACTATAAAGGGCCCCAGGGAGTTCCTTATAAAGGGCCCCAGGGAGTTCCTTATAAAGGGCCCCAGGGAGTTCCTTATTGTAACAATTATACTATAAAGGACCCCACAACCCTATTCTAATCATTAAGGCCCCTAAATTAGGCTTTAGGGTTTAGGGAGGGAGGCAGGGGTGCCTAAACCCTAAACCCTAAACCCTAAACCCTAAACCCTAAACCCTAAACCCTCTCCCATGCCGCTGGCCAGGAAGTGCGGGAGGCGCGGCCATCGGAGGGCCTGGCTTCTCTCAGTCTTCTCGAGTTAGGGTTTAGGCTTTAGGCTTTAGGGTTTAGGGTTCTTCGGTTTAGGTTTTAGGGTCTTTCGGTTTAGGGTTTAGGGTTTAGGGTTTTTCGGTTTAGGCTTCAGGGTTTAGGGTTTAGGGTTTCTCGAGCTCTTAGTTCCCCGATACCCAACCTTTAAACTTTTTGGGTTCTTATAACTTACCTATAGTTTCCATTGTAGTTCCTTTTTTGTTAACCAATGTTATGGCTAGGACCCTATAATAAAAATTTGGTTAACCAACAAAAAGGAACTACAATGGAGACTATAGGTAGTAGTAACCTGAAAGTTTAACCTTTTGTTTTACTGGTTATTGGGGAAGTAAGAGATAAAGTCAAGGCCATTGCCATCTACCAGCAGACCGGAGAGGGCCGCAAGGAAGCCGCCGCATTCTACGAGCCCGACACCCTGCTTGTTCGGGTGCCGCACGGGGCGGAGGCATGAAGCAGACCGGAAGTGTAAACTGAACTCTAAACCCTAAACCCGAAAACCCCAAACCCTGAATACTCCCAAAGCCCTAAATCCTAAAGCCCTAAACCTAACGGAATCGAGGCTTGCTGGTGTCTGCATGGAGTACGGCAACCTCAACGAGGGTCACCAAGCAGCTGACAAGGCGGGCGGAAAGCCGCAGGGGGTTTCGGGCAGACTTCTAGGGTTTTTTTTCGGGTCTAGTAGTTAGGGGCTCATAGATTTTATAGGGTTTTATACGGGCTTCTAGGGGTTTATGCACGGGTTTCTGGAGGATTAATGTAGTTTTAAGACCGCTGGGTTTCGATTTTTTGGGCTTGGGAGACCCTAAGCCCTAAACCCTCTACCCTAAACCCTTGTTGGGGGCTTATATAACAGGGGCCTCTGATGGCTCCTGGGGGTGAACAAGGGGTTTAGGGTTCAGGGGTTGGGGTTTAGGGTTTAGGGTTTAGGGGTTGGGGTTTAGGGGTTTAGGCTTTATAAAAGAACGGTTAAGAGTTGTAACAGGGTTGAGCCCCAAACCCGAAACCCTAAACCCAGATCAAGCCTAAACCCTGAGCCCTAATTCCTAAGCCTTAAACCTTAAACCCTAATTCCTAAACCCTAAACCTTAAACCTTAAGCCCTAATTCCTAAGCCCTAAACCCTAAACCGTAAACCCTAAGCCCTAAACCCTAAACCCTAAACCCTAAGCCCTACACCCTAAGCCCTAAACCCTTAACCCTAAACCTTAAGCCCTCATTCCTAAGCCCTAAACCCTAAACCCTAAACCCTAAATCCTTTAGGGATGGGCTCTCTGAGATCTGCGGCACTCGCCAGGCCCAGGGGCTTTGGCAAAACGAAGCAGACAAGAAAGAGGAGATCAAGGCATTGGTTCGCTTACTATAGGGCCACGGTTTAGGGTTTAGGATTTAGGTCTTGAGGTGTAGGGTTTAGGGTTTAGGGCTTTGGAGTACCATACTTTCATACTTTTTTGGGGGACCTGTTCCTTAAAGGAGCCATTATGAAATACACGTCTATACTTTTTTCTCCCTGGTTACTTCAAAGCCCAGCTTACTATAGGGCCACGGTTTAGGGGTTAAGATTTAGGTTTTGGGGTGTAGCGTTTAGGGTTTTAGGGCTTAGGCTTTAGGGTTTAGGGTTCTAGGGTTTAGGGTATAGGTACAGGGTTTAGGTTTTGGGGTTTAGGGTTTAGGGTTTCGCTTGCTATAGGTGCCTTAATGATTAGAATAGGGTTTGGGGGATATATTATGCTATATCTGTAACAAGGAGCCCTTAATAATTACCTATACTATTTTGGGGGGTTCCTTATTTTATTCATCGTAATTATAATATACCCCCAAACCCTATTCTAATTACTAAGGCCCCTATATTGTTGGTGGTTGAGGGCTTACGATTTAGGGTTGAGGGCCTAGGATTTATAGGGGGTTTAGGGCTAAGGACTTCCAGGGTGTAGGGTTTCGGATAGGGCGTTTGGGTTTTGGGACCCTAAACCCTAAACCGTTTAGGGGTAAAAGGGGAAGAGGTCAAGGCCCGATTTGTGCTTAAGGGAGAGCCCAAGGGAGAGTGGAGGATGGCCCTGTAGGAGCTTCCAGAAGGGATGATGATATAGGGTTTAGGGTTTCGGGTTTAGAGTTTAGGGTTTAGGGTTTAAATAGCTGCCAATACTATTTCGGGGGTTCCTTATTCGAATTATAGTAGAATGAGCCCCAAAACCCTATTCTAATCATTAAGGCCCCTACAGTAGGGACGATTGTAGGGATCCACTCTCCCACTCTCCCTTAAGCACCAGTAAGTGTGACGACTGAAGTGCGGAAACCGTCGTCCCTCGACCTGTGCAGGCCAAACTGTGCGCAGCTTAAGCGGGGCTTCAGGGTTTACCTATAGTCTCCACTGCAGTTCCTTTTTTTGGTTAACCACAGTTATATTATAGGATCCTAACCATAAAATTGGTTAACCAAAAAAGGAACTACAATGTAGTTCCTTTTTGGGGATACCTTATAAAGTCCTTAATATATATTTACCAAAAAAAGGAACTACAATGGAGACTATAGGTAGAGTTTTGGCAGACGGCGAAGTCTGGATGTTGAGCCCAGGCGGCTTGCCGAGCTCGTTGCGATGAAAGGCCCCCGCCCTGAAAGGGTTTAGGGTTTAGGGTTTAGGGTTTAGGGTTTAGGGTTTAGGGTTTAGGGTTGCACCTCAAATCCTAGCTATAGTCTCCATTGTAGTTCCTTTTTTTGGTAAATATATATTCAGGACTTTATAAGGTATCCCCAAAAAGGAACTACAATGGAGACTGTAGGTAGAACCCTGAACCCCTAAACTCGCTCTTGCTTCTGCTGAGGTCAGATAGAGGAGGCCATCCAAATCGCAGAGGAGGCACCTCTGCCTGCAGCTTCCAAGGATCACGGGACTTAGTAAATCTGAGTAACCAGGTTCATAATCATAAGTCTAAAAAAACAACTGATTGCAGCGCTAACTGAACCTATAGTGTCCAGTGGAGCTCCTTTTTTTGGTTAACCCAACTTACTACTGTCGGATCCTAACCATAAACTTGGTTAGCCAAAAAACGGAACTACAATGGAGACTGTAGGAAGTACTTATAACCTTGCGTGTAAGTCCCCTGACTCTCCAAGCGGTCATGGTTCTCCTGCTTGCACGAGCTGATCTCCGTCGCTCGTTCCTGCTGATTGGCTCACAGATGCGGCGTTCAACGGTGAAGACACGATACTACAGGGACCTGC